GGATATTTGAAAGGAGCCTGGAGCTAGATGTTGTTATTGCCAAAAGACCCGAGTGGTTGATTGGCAATTTAATAAGTTTGTTTTCGCATTATTTTGGCAAAGCGAAGATTCGCAAATTAATCGTTAGATTAATTTTTTAATTGCTCTGTCAAATCCAAGGTTTGAAAAAGATAAGTTTTAATTGTGCTGTCAAACCCAAGGTATTGCAAAAGATTCCTAGTCTTGTTGTTGTCCAGCGTGACATCGTGAGAAATGTAATTATAATATTTAATATATAGGAAACGACTCCGTCGGTTTACTACATTCCTCCCCTCGAAGATGGAAGTCTCCGACTTTCCTTAGTTCAAGAATGTACGAAGTTGTGGATAGCCAGTAGGGCTGTTTCTTGGTGCGAGTGGAAATTCGACTATGTCGACGCTTCTTAGCGACGCTTCTTGGTTCGCACCATGTGGTTCCGTTTCTTCTGGTGACTCTACTTTTGTGTAATCTGTTTTAGATTTAATTTTATTTATAATAAAAATGCTTACTGCCATAAAAATTACACTTGCTATAACATAAAGTATGTAATTATTCAGTTCCTGTGAGTTTTTAAGTTCGTCGATTCTGTTGTCGACCTTGCGTTGTTTCTCCAATTGTTTTTTCGAACCTGACACTGTATTTAGGTCCTCCATGTTGTTTGTTTTGACATGATAGTCTTCCATTAAATTGTTGGTCTCTACGCGTGTTGAGTAGTGATTACGATCTATTATTGACCGTGGGTTGAAGTCCATATACTCGGATTTGTAGTCAACTTTACCCGGTATCAGTATGTCTCTAGTAGCGTAACCTTTGCAGGTTTCGTTTAGATGTATAATTCTTACTCCTTTGAGTGTGTGGCTAGTTAATAATAATAATAATAATAATAATGTTTATTGCAACAACAGAATATATACATTATTTACAAAAAATATGAGTTAAATATTGCAGCACCCCTATAAGCAAAGCTTGTGCTGGGGGCGCGGTTCTTATTATTTAAAATGAATACATCACAAACAAAATAAAATAACAGTTAATACAACATAAATTAAATAACAATAAGTTAAAAACAAAAATAGTTGTATTATTATAACTTTTGACTATTACAAACTAGATAGTAGATAGGTCTAAATGTTTAACATAATTTTTAAATATTAACACATTTTCAAAGTTGTTTATATTAATATTTAATGAACGACATAATTTCAAACCCGTGTACAATATACTATGTTGACCAAATACTTTATTCAGGTTTGGTAGCAGTATATTAATATTTTTTTTATATCTCGTATTGTGCTCGTGATCTAGCAATGTAATTAAATTTTTATGTTTATATAAATCGACCAAAACCGATGATTTGTAAATGCATATTAAATGCTTTACATTAAGTTCCTTATAAATCAATGATGTACTAGTTGTCGTGGGAAGATTAAGTAAAAATTTGATAATTCCATTAATAGTAACTATAAGTTTCGATAAAACATTATTTGCGGCTCCTCCCCAAATAGAAATACCATAGGAATAAATTGATTGAACTAGTGAAAGAAAAATCATTCTTTTATAATAATTATTAAGTAAGTATCTAGCTTCTTTAAAGAAGTAGAAGAATTTACGTAAAGTATTATTAATATAATTTATATGACTCCCATTTAAATCTAAAGTCAACAATTATCCCAAGATATTTTATTTCATTTACCTTTTCAAGTATATTACATTTAGAAGTACAAGTTGAACTAAGATGATAATTACATTTTAGCGAATGAACAATAAGGTTATTTTTTAACAAGCAATTTGAATAATTCGATGCTTGCAGTTCAAAACAAATATATTTTGATTTTATCAGATTCAATTTTAATTTATTTTTACAAAACCAAGTGTAAATAGTATTTAATAATTTGTTGGCTTCGGTAAATAGTATATCAACTGATGGTTCGGACAATAAAACAGCAGTATCATCAGCGAAGCTTAGTATTTCGGAACTTGAATTAATTTTTAGTTTTAATAAATCATTTATAAAAATAACAAATAATAAAGTACCTAATACAGTGCCTTGTGGAACTCCACAAGATACATTAAGAGAGTTACTTGACATATCATTACATTTAACACTTTGTGTTCTATCGCTCAAAAAAGATCTAAAAAGATTATTTGAAACTCCTCGTATTCCAGCATTTTCTAATTTTCTTAATAATAATTCGTGATTTACACAATCGAATGCTTTTTGTACGTCCAAAAAAATACCCATTACTTTAAAATTATTATCCACATTTTTCCTAATAAAGTTATCAACCCGGAAAAGAGCATCGTTTGTAGACAAACCAGTTCTAAAACCAAATTGTGAAACTGAGAAAAATGATTTCTTTTCTAAGTAATCAAGTACTCTGATTTTAATACATTTTTCAAAAATCTTTGACAAAGTTAATGATAATGATATAGGACGGTAATTTTCACATGATAATTTATCTCCTGTTTTGTATAAGGGTATAACAATACATTTTTTAAAGGTTGTGGGGTACTTCCCCGTTGATAAAGAATGATTAAAAGTTAGTAGTTGATTCCTTGTCTTCATCACAGGTAACAAATAGTACGTCATAGTCAGTCACGTATATCCATTCATTTTTGAATCTCTTCTTATGGAAGATAGTTGTACCTATTTGCACATGCATTACTTCACAACTGTTTGGAACTTTGTCTGGATCCTGCAGTAATAGTACTTCGCAGATGGGTCGTATATTACGAGGATGTAAAGGATTACCTTCAGGACATAAAAGGAAATCTCTAGCGTGTTTACAATGAGTGTAGTAAAATTCGTCATAAGTTGCATAATGTTCTTTAGATTTACTTATAGCTATATACTTATTACTAGGTTTTATATAAACACAATCATTGTCAATACATACTGGTACAGGTATTAAATTATATAAAATAAAGTCGTTTTGATAAATTTATGGTAAGGCTATTATAAAAACTAGGTTGTCGCTAGCATAATAAATAGCAATATCTGAGAGTTTCACCAGTTCGTAAATGTTAGCAATGTCTAGGTCAGTGGGTAAATCAGTCCCCCCTGGTAAAGATACTTTAATGTCTTTGACGTGTTCTAGTAACTCTTGTGGAGTTATTAAACTGGGATGTATAACCCCTACTTTTTGCTTGTTGTATAATTTCTAATATCGTATCCGTTTCTAACATATGTTTGGTAATTAATAAGTTAACGTGTATAAAATGTTTTGTTAAATAATTTTTTATTTGCTGTTCTTTCGTAATGTTTGTTGTTTCGTTCACGGATAATGACAATGGCAACATAGTTATATTGTCGTGTGGTTCTAAATTATGTTGTAGTTCTACTACCTTAATTTGTTCTTTTATCAATTTAGATTGTGATGTGTTTTTAGCTACTCCTATATTAAAATTAAATTTCTGTATGCATTCCAAATTACATATTCCGTATATTAACCTAGCTGCTTTTGTTACGAGTTTAGTTAAAGCGCTACGTTTAGTAATTACGTGTCCAATAGAATTTAAGACCTGTGCCTTTTTATGGTGTAAATTTTCAACTATAGCGGTAGCTGAAAGAAGTAAGTTGTTACAATTAAAATTATTTTGTACTGGGTCGTGCATGTGTTCAACGCACAATACTTTCGTTTTTTCTATCACTATGTTTATGTATTCGAATTCTTTATTATATTTAGTAAGATTAATGTACGCAGTAAGGTCCCATTGAGATGTTACAAGTTTCAACGGTCCTCGATTTTCGTAGTAAATGCCAGAATGTTGACTTAAATGTTCGTCTGTGAATCGTAATGTTCCTGACGTGAACGGTATTGTTAGTAGAATAAGTCTGAAATCGTTTCAGCTCATTAGTCAAGTTATAGAACGAATATTTAATATACTCCTACCTATAAATATTTTGATTTTTAAAATCTAAGTTATTAAATATTAACCCATTTCCATGTATAAATGATATATATATATATATAAAAAAACTAATTGATAACCTTGTACCGAATAATAATAATAATAATAATAATAAAATAATAAAATAAAATTATGAAGTCATAAAAATCTCGTAATCCATCCTGTATTTGGACGGTAATAAATGTTGCGTCCAACTGACGTCAATTTATACATCAACGTGGAAATGAATACTTGATGCAATATGTTATTATGAGTATTTATTTAAGTACAAAATTACAATGTATATAAGCTATGGTGGAGATGTGAGCGGTGTTATGACCTGACTCCAAATGTCTTGAGTATCCCTAACCGTCTGCCGAGCTCTTGTCCCGGGCTGGTATTTATATGATCGAGTCCTTTGGAGTGGGTGGTTGTATCAATGGCCAAATTCGGTCATGAGACTGCGTCCGGGTCTCGTACTTGGTATTCTGGTCGACTCGTATCCTTCGTATGAATGTTTGAATTTCCTAGAGAGATACTTTTACAGTGTCCCTAACGTGTTATAATATACTAATTGCCTTATTAATTATATCGTCGAGTACTATTAGAAACCTGCGCTACGTCGTACATTGTTATTACTTAATTACTAAATACGTAGGTACGTAACAACTCCCTTCTAAAAAAAAGACTTTATGTTTAACCCATTAACGGCCAATAATATAAATAGTTGAAAAAACCTAACTTTTTTGACTAATTCGGAATATTTATGGTGAACTAGTGACAAAATTATTTTTCAAAAAAAATTTTTGTTGGCCACTTTCCTGGAAAATAAAGTTGCGCACACGCAACGTTGGTCGTTAACAGTGAATAAAATCGTAAATAAATAAAATATTTTTCATATTTATACATTTTTTTTATTCTTATTCAAATATATAGTATACGAATAGTATTAACACAAATGTATTAATTTGTTATTATTTATGAATTTTTTTTCACGTTGGAATAATTATTAAGTCATGAATTGATGGAATATATAATTTTTAAGTACACTTGAAAAATAGTAAAAAGTAATAAAAATATAATAAGTTGATTTATTTATCATGAAATATAGCAAAGCAGTGTGGATGAAGAGACACTAAACATTTTCTGCAAGAATAAATTGTTTGAGAAGAGCAATGGCGACATCTTCTTCTAACATCATCTTTGATAATAATGTGGTCCATTCCGTCTTTTCTAATGGCATCTGGAAGACTGTTTTTTGAAGGTCGACCGAAACTGACGTTGCTAGTTGTAGAATGTTGAGACTCGTCTTCATCATTGTCTTTGAGGCTTGTTTCAACTTTTAATAGACATAGTACTAACTCTGATCTGAAGTCAAGCTGTGGCACTTTTTTTTTATTTACCAAGTTGTAAAACTTCCATGCATTGACTATCGTGCTATCCACTGCATTGCTAAATAATGGCCACCACCATTTTTTGCCCCGTATTTTTATACGATAGTTTGCAATGCCATTATCATGGAGGTCTACGCCACCCATATTTTTATTATAATTATAAATCATACTTGGCTGTTGTACACTTATCGGTTTTTTCAGTTTCCTATCATAACGTTTAGCAGCATGTATGGGTTCTATGGTGTCTACGTTAGACATCATTGTAACAACAGCATTGTCACACCAACGAACTGCACCTATTCCATTCTCACTGTCGAAAGTGAAATCAAAAGTGCCTTTGGGTTCTTTAGCCATTAGTTTCATTGATTTCAAATTGCAATTTCCTGTTCGATTATCCCGAACTGTCCCAGTTGCAAAAAAATGTTTTTCTTTCAACATCAACAGTAATTTATAACTTGTAAAGAAGTTATCGAAGAATATTCTATGAAGCTGTGGTTGATCTACTATTTCCAATAAACCTAAAACAACCTCCGAACCAAGAGGTAAACCGTCCACTCTTTTTGTACTAGCACCACCATAAGGTAAAAATTTGTACAAATAGCCATTCTCAAATGTCAAGCACCACAACTTGAAACCAAATCTAACAGGTTTCCCTTTAATGAACATTTTACAAGAATGCCGACCGAAATATGGCACCATTTCTTCATCAATCGACAGATTATGAGAAAATATTCCGAACTGAGAAAACTTTTCATTCAATATATTGAAAAAAGGTCGTACCTTAGCAAATTTATCGGTCAAATCAAGGTTTTTATTGTCAGATAAATGTAAATTTTGTTTTATATTTTTAAATTTGTTCCTTGACATTGTTTTCCTTACTAAAATTACTTCTTTGTCTTCGTCTTTAGACCAATAGTTTTCGATTTTTGGTAAACTATGGTAACCAGTTAAGATCATAATACCGATAAATTTTAATAAATCTGTCTTTCCTAAGAAAAGTTATGCCTGTTACAGTAGGTAGCATATTTATTTGAATTGTCTATTATGAGATTAATCACAGTATCATCGAAAAATAATAAAAAACATTGCAACACGTTCGTCCCACCATAATTTTCAACTAATTGTGCAACACATTTTTGTTCTTCGTTAATTGGTCCATCAGTATAGTTGGGGTGCATTTTTGATTTCCATTTTGGGGGTGTTTCCTTACGTTTTTTGGAAGGATTTGGTTTTGAAAGATTATCTACACCGGAACTTTTTAAAATTTCAAATGTTCCACACACATCAAGTGGAACGTCTACAACATCGTTTATAGCCATCTCATTATCATCGAAATGTTCTTCGTCAGTCAAACTATCTACATCGGGAGGAATTATAATAATATCAATTGATTCGTTATCTGAAATACCTTCAAGTTCATCTAATACTTCAGCGATGTGTTTTGACGATTTAAGGCTCATTTCTACAATTTAAATTAAAAAAAAAATTTCTTTACACCGAATAAAATAAGACAGTGGATAAAATATATTACAATTACGTTATTACGTAATCTCTTATACAGATGTTGAAGTGTATGTTTTCACAATAATTCAATAAAATGTAGGTAGTAGGTACTATACTAGCTAGTTATATATAATTAGTAATAATATAATATAATGCAAACTTACTAAATATTAGTTGAAATAACTACAACAACCACAAGCTACGACATACGACGAGCACTTTGGTGAATTTTGGCCGGTGACTGATTTATAACAACTAAATATAATATTGTTCAAGTATGTAGGGATACGGATACCTATTATTATAGCTATAAATGTTTTAATACACACTATCCGTACATTATTGATAAGATAAAAACAACGTAAAAGCATCGAAAAATTATTATTACAGGAAAAACCAACGTGTGAGCTATTTTCTACGGCACATAGTAATATCAAACAACGGTGTTCGATAACTTCAAAATTCTATAATATAAACCGCCAACGTTGCGTACACGCAACATTAACTTTGGAGGGTAATTGGAAACCTAAATGATAAATGAATGACAATTCAGCTCATAGGGACACATCATACAGCATCATAACATAATGATTTTTACGGTTAATATACCAAATATTTAAAATTCAAATTTTAATTAATTTTATAAGTTTTAAGTATTTTGGACATAAAAACTGTCTTGCTTCTGATACGTATAATAAACATGATTTCGATAAAAACTAATAACGCCTGATTGTTTTTCATTATTCATTGTCTTCTTAATCGAATAGTGTCACAGGCGAATAAAAAAAATTTATAAATCTAACCTAAAAAAATTATTTAAAAAAATGTTGCGTATACGCAACTATGGCCGTTAATGGGTTAAAAGCTTAAACATAAATCTTTAACATTTTACGGTATTATAACAATTTTACATATATGATACATTGGTTATAAGATAGTGATACACTGTTATATGAAGTAGTGATACTTTGTTACATTTAGAAATCTAGTACATCTGATTATAAAATAGTGATACATTGGGTTAAGCACATAATAATTGTTAGATATTAATACATTTTTTTTTTTTTTTTTTTTTGTTTTGTTTTGTTTTACATTTTCCTTCTTATTCTAGTGTTAGTACATGGTGGCTACATATTTGTGGTTAAAAATACTTAATCTATTACAATTATACAATTAGACATATTTTATATATTCGTCCTATAATCTATTGGTCTTATATATGTTTTAAACTTTTATTTGAAAGCTTAATTACTTTACTAGAGTATGTCCATTCAAATGTGTAGAATCTTATCAACCCCCTGATTCCCAGTTATAGGTATAGTCTACACTATTGTATTTTCACTCTTTAATTAGTAATTACTAGATTATTTATTCACTTGTTGTCACTGTAAAAATATATAATTAATTGTATTTGTGAGATAATTTTATTCGGATAATAATATTACATTATGAGATATTAGTTCTACTTTACATATTAATAATTTATTCCTTTGTATTAATTTTATTCAGCTGCCTCGGCGGCTTGTATTAGTTCGGTTATTAAATTTGCCAATTGGAGGCATGTGGGTGCGTGTATTTCGCGTACTAAAATTGTTAAACGGAGAGTCATAGTGATTATCTCCATAATTCTATTCATCTCAGCTGTAGTATATGGTACAGGTAAATGTTCATTGGCTATTCTCATATAGTTTCTTAGACACGTAGGTCCTTCACCGTTTATTATGTATTGGTTTACGTGATCGTTGTGCCTCAACGAGTATTCTAACATCATTAAGTATAATACCCGTCTAGAAATAAATTCTCGTGTTGGCATTTTGTTATGTATTTTATACGGTGTTTATAGGTTACGCGTTGTGGGTTAAAATAATCTTGAGGTTCCGTGTGATTGTCTTATCTGGAAACAAGACAAGATACTAATATCGATTTTGGTTATTTAAGTTGTTATAAATTGATCAAATGAAATTTCGTTTAGCATTTATAAATCTCCTGTTTTTAGCACTAAAATTAAATATGTTATTTTAAATTATTCTCGCTTAATAGCGTTTTATTTAATTCATTGTTTATACTTATTAATTATGATTATGATTATAATTATTTATTTATTATATATTTTTTTTTTTTATTATTATTTACATACATGTTAATTATTTTTTTTTTTTTTTATACATATGACTACTCTTTTTAACTCAGATTCTCGTGGAACCTTTTTACGTGGTTTTTATGCACCGTAACGTGTCTTTTCCCGCGCATTATTACAATATTTTCCTTGTCCAATACATCGGTTACTTCATAGGGGCCTGTCCATAATGGATTTAGTTTATTCTTTTGCGCGCGTTCCCTTAATAAAATTTGATCTTTTACGTGTATTTCTATAGGGTTTTTATTGCTATCATAATTCTCTTTGGATTTTATTTTACATTTTATTAGCCTTTCTCTTGCTATTTTATGAGCCTCCTGCATTTTCTGTTTTAAATCAAAATAGTAATTGTCATAATTATATCTAGGTTCAGGTTCTCGTGATAGCTTAATTGGTATCTCTAAATATTTACCGTATAGTAGAGAATATGGTTGATAACCCGTTGATGTGTGCTCCGTAGTATTATAAACGAAAAATGCGTAGGGCAAGTACTCATCCCAATTGTTTAATTTCTTATCGACATAATGTCTAAGGTAGTCTGATAATGTCCTATGTGATCTCTCCAAGGCTCCATTGGCCTCCGGGCGATAAGAACTTGTGTTTATCTTATTTATTTGCAATAATTTGCATACCTCGGTAAATATTTTACTTAAGAAATCGGTTCCCTGATCGGTTAATATGGTTTGTGGTATACCGTGTGTGCATACAAAATGTGTTACGAATGCTTCGGCTATAGTATTAGCTTGGTGATTTGGGAGGGGAACGCCCATGGTGTATTTTGTTAAATCGCATTGAATTGTTAATATATATGTATTCCCTGCTAATGTAGTGACCAACGGGCCAACGATATCTAAACATATTTTTTCAAATGGCTCAAAACTAGTGGTCGTAATTACCATCGGTTGTTTTACCTTTTTATTCGTGACCTTTTTCTGTTGACATGATGCACAATTTTTTATATATTCGATTACATCTTATTTTAAACCTCGCCAATTAAATTGCGTTTTTATTTTCTTTATGGTTCTATGTATTCCGACGTGTCCGCCGGTTACGGAGTCGTGACATTGTTTGAATATGATTAATTTTTCCTCATCACTAAATTCTAACTTGGAACAAATAATTATGTCTACTCCCGTGTTTCGGAAAACATATCGAATCATAGCACGTACTTGAGCCCATTCTAATCGGTCGTTAAAACCTAATTTATTCATAGCTAATTTATTCAATGATTGTTCCTCACATAATAGTTTTAAATTTAATAGAGACAGATAAATGTTTTCATACGTAGCTTTTTGTTTGTTTTTACTTTTGGTGGTTAAGAATATTATATATCTATCTTTATCCCGTAAATAATTTACTTCCCCGATTGCTTTACTAGGTGTTAATTTCTGACCGTTGTCAAATTTTTGTTTTATTTCGTAATTTATTCCTGACATAAAATTATAATGTTTTTCTATCTCCGAGACTATGTGATATTCCTCGGGTGCTTCTATTAGACTACCGTTTACTTCTTTTACGTGTTTATTAGTTATTAACTGTGTTTCGAATTTATTTAAAAATGCGGGATAGCTTTCCTCTTTTATCTCATTTATGGTATACATTCTGGTCAGAGCATCGACGTTTGAATTTAATATTCCAGGTTTATAACGAATCTCATAATTGTACTCTTCTAAAAGTATTCGCCAGTTTAGATAGTGGGTCCTTTAAATTGAATAGCCATGAAAGTGCGCGGTGGTCGCTCATTATAATAAATTTTCTTCCATATAGATAAGGTCTAAATGTTTTTACTGCGAATATTATAGCTAGACACTCAAGTTCAGTGGTGCTATAATTGTTTTCGCTTTTGTTTAAAGTTCTAGATATATAAGCAATAGGTAAGTCCCGTGATACTTCCCCTTGAGATAATATGGCACCTAGAGCTTTCCCGCTCGCGTTTGTTGTAACGATAAATGGTTTTGTGAAATCTGGATATTGTAATATAGGTTCCGAACATAGGATGTTCTTTAATTTATCAAATGCTTCTTGGCAAGAAGTGTCCCAATTAAAGGTAATGCCCTTTCTTAATAGATTTGTCATTGGTTTTGCTATTAAACTATATGATTTTATAAACTTCCTATAATAACCAGAAAGTCCCAAGAATGATTTAATTTCTTTTATGTTTGTTGGTGCCGGGAACTGTAATACTGACTCGACCTTTGCTGGATCCGGCTGTATGCCGTTTTCACTGATTATATGACCTAAATACATGCACTGTTGTTTTAAGAATTCGCATTTTGCTGGTTGTATTTTTAAATTATGATTTCGTAGTCGTTCAAAT